CATTTCGATCCTCCTATTGTTCCATTGTTCGGGCGAGTAGCTGTTCCCTCAGTGGTCCGCTGCTGTACCGACCGACAAATCCTCGACAAATATAAACCGGTTTGTGTGAAATGCTTGCGTAAAATAACAATTATCAGCACTTTCTGGTCAATTTACAATTTTCTAATCCAACTCAGTGTTTGGAGTCCGTTCGATTCTTGTCTCTTTTACGGCTAATCACAACCTTGTTATAGTGTTTTAGATCACGATACAAATACAACTGGACTTTACATATCATAACTCTTAAATTAACGGTTACTACTATGTATCCTTAACTCTAACCGATACATCTCCATGCCCATGAGGATGAAAGGGAAAAAATCACTCAGGCTTTTTATTCAGGGAGGGGAGGGTACTTGTAGTCACGGGCTTGCAAACATGTTCTTATAACACTCACCGTACTCCCACAAGGCGAGATATTGTTCCTCTCGCCGACAATCTCTGTAACAGGCCTGTTTTATCCTCTAAAGATCACGAAAGTAAAATAGCAAAATAACTCGTTCAATGATTCAGTAGCGAAAACAGCGATAACATAAGCTGTTAAAGCTAGAAACCTAACAAAGTCCAGTTGCCTCCACGATGAATAAAGTACTTGAAGTTAAGTAATTCCAAAATGCACGTTCTACACAGTCCTATTGTGACAAAGTAAAAGCAAAATAACAGCAAAGGTTTACACTGGATGCGATTTTATTGAAAATTGGGGTCCACTCAATATCTAATATCATTAAAAATATTTTCCCCGGTTAAATCAAGTTCAAGTTTTACCAAACTTTATAGCAAACACATCGAAGCCGAAACAGTTATGACCCATGTTCGTCAAAGAGAGCGCCTAAAGGAACAATGTGACTTTACCAGTAGATTGCTGTAAACCTGAAAAAATCTCTTCCTTCTAATTTTCTGACCCGTTTTTCACATGTGTGATTCATCAAGTATGGAGCATCTTCATAGCGTTACATCCGTGACACTCACCGTTAGATACCTCCATATCTGGTTCCGTGACTTCCTTGTTCTTAAGACTGCGGGTCCTTTTGTGTCTTCTTGTCGGCGATGTCTTTCTTTTCTTGGACCACTGTCCTTCTGTAGTTTCTCTTCTCAGACTCTCCACTGGAGAATCAAATAACAACACGCCAGTCTCTACTTACTACCTTGATGAACTATATATCTTACAATACTTCATTTACGATCAACGTAGTGTTACAGTACAACTCCTATTAAGGGGACACCCTCAGGGAAATTGGAGGTGGCCGCTTAATGGGGTTTGGCCGCTTGATAGGTATTCGTGAAGAATTAGCATGAGGCTTACTACAAACGTAAAGAATTAGCATGAGGCTTACTACAAACGTAAAGAATTAGCATGAGGCTTATTACAAACGTAAAGAATTAGCATGAGGCTTAGTACAAACGTAAAGTTAGTCAAATACAAACATACTTTAAGGCAACATGGAATCATGTGAAGACAATAACAAACGTGTGTTTGAATGTTTTTCTCAAGATGTTATTTTCTACTTTGGACTCTTATCTGTCACCTTTTATAAAACAAAACCAAACTACGTGTGTTAAATTCTGGGTGGCCGCTTCATATGGGTAAGAACAAAAGAAAACCCGAACGGGGACGACCAAAAGGTGGCAACTATACACCTTATCAGCTTCAGACTGACTGATTGAACAGTTTCAATCGAGTTCCGAAATTAACTCGAAATTACAATGGTTCTGCTCTGTGATTGGTCAACAGACTCGCGCCATCTCCTTCACCAATCAGGTGCAGGACCAAAAGCAATCGCGACTAGGTCCCAGGTCACGAACGTGTTCCCGCGCTTGACGCCAGTTTCCTACGTTGTTTCTGCTATGATCGGCCAAAGAGATCAGTTCGATTCTGGTTTAAAGGCATTCTAGTCAAAATTAAAAACTGCCTAACCGACACAGTAAAACATTTCCACCAAGAGCTAACCCTTGATTCCTGATATTTGAAGCTTCTTTGATTTTAAACTGATCATGCGTGCAAAACGTTATTAACTGCTTCACCTACCTAAAAACTGGAAATAGCCTTCAAGACCTTCCAAAGCATTCTTCTCTATCATATCTGCGAGGCAATAAAAAATAAACACTGATTGTTTCAAAATAATCCAGTCGTATTCAGTACAAGTCTACCGTAAAATGTAATCCGCTTAGTATGGCCTTTATATCAAATTCAGACTACAAGACTAGTGGGCAACACTTAAAATCTCTTCTCAATCTGCTGACATCCTCGTTATCCATTTCTTACAACTCTCCTCTCAGAAGCGTGGCGTGACAACCTGAATAACCAAACGTGGTCAAGATCTAAATTCTCTCTACAATGTCAGCTCTTCGTCAAGTGCACAGGTGATGACAACTCAGAACTTCGTCAAACTAAGAAGAATATTTTTTTGTGATGTAAGGCTTAATTCTCGAAACTTACATCACAAAACTATGGAAACCAGTAATGACGATTTGCATTTTGAGATAATGAAAACTTTTGTTGCCTTTAATATTAAACTGTTTTCAAATAAAGATCTTGAGGAGTTTGTCAACGAAAAGCGCACAAAGCATTCGCAGAAACAAGACGTGCACAAAAAGCGTGGATCTTGAATGCAATTTCCAAGCATTTCTTTGTTATACCAATAAGTTACGCACACAAAAATACGAGGTTTAAAGTATTCACATGACTTTTATAAAAGTTCTTATCATTTCATAAGTTACTCTTAGCCCATCTTTTCCTCTCTTTAAAAACCACTCTACACATTTAACCTATCGTTTAGCAGGGCAACTCAACAGTAAATTTCTCCAGCATTTGCTAGCCAAAACAGATGACAGCGTGGGTAAATTTTGTTATCAACTAGAGCAGGAATTGTCTTGGCGAGCGAAACATTCGCGGAACCTGACCAGAAGTTTGTGTCAGTCATAGACTAGCAGGTCAGAAGAGGAGAAGCAATTCAGAAGAGGAGAAAGAACTGAAACAGCACCAGACTGACAAATATCTGCCTTGCATTACGCTATATACGTGGTCCACAATCGACAAAAAAACCCCTAAAGATAACTTGTCAAAAATTAATAACGATAACACGTTTTCCAAACCATTCATCCAGCTCGATCAGTTTCGTTGTGCACAGCTGTAACAGGAATAAGTTGTCTTCACGAGTACCTCTTCAAAACACGAGCACCAATTTATAACCAAAACACAGAGCTATGTAACGCTGATATGATTGCAAAAATGGCATTGCTCTCCACCAATCAGCTACTTTATTTCCCAAACATAACATCAATATTTTATGGCAACAATCAACGACAGTGACCTCAAGTATTCAAAGTACTTCTGCTCTGCTGTGATTGTTTTGTCGTGGCGTCATGAATAATACATTCTCTTTATTCTTGAGAAGTTTACGTATTCAGTCACAGCTAGGATCGGCCGGATGGAGAATGGAGTAGATAGAATACTGGAACCTCAGGCAAACGGGATAAGTTCTAAAATGCAAGACCACAGCACCACCATCCTGAACTGAGGCCTCCCAGACAATTTTTTGTTGAGTTTCATCAATGTTTTCTTCTCGACCGTTTTTGTGCGATCTGATTTGCACACCAAGACATCCACAAGTTGTGTCTGCAATATTCTAAGAGCAGTTCAGCAGTCCTCGGAGACTTCAATATCCAACGCCAGGTTTAGCTCTTTAAATGCATTTAGTCCAGATTTGAGCAAAACGAACCGATCCTTGGGTCATGTCGAAAAATGTTTTCTTTGAGATATTAATAAGAAAAGGTACCTACAGTGTTGTCATAAGACGCTGGCTTGCAAATATGGATTCGGTCGACCATCAAAGCAATATTATGAACGATAGTTCGGCTACTTACTGCGACCAACAAGTCGTATAACAACAGCCATTGTTCATAACTTGTAGATCATTGGACAAGGCTGTTAACCCTTTATAACTCGTTCCCTGAGAAATATCGTATCCAATTTCTCTTTACTAAATCACCATATTTGTCTCGTAAAGAGATAGGGAGAAAAAAGGAAATCAAAGTTAACGAAATCTCGGTTTGCCAGTCTTGATCTGTCTTATGTGTCGTGAGAAACATGAGGCGACGAAACAGCTGCAATTGAATTCTTGTTCAACAGATGGTTATTCTTGTTCAACAGAGTCCGGCTATTTGTTCGTTTATCGCATATATCGTCGGTTCAAGCATTATTACTTCAAAAGAAAAAGCATACTCACTTCTTACAAAACCCCATACTGACTTCTGATAGGTTACCTCTGACGATACTCTACAATAAAGGAGAAAAACATAATAGTAATATCACTTTATGAACGGTGAGCATCTTAATAACCAAAGCGACGTCCGCTCAAGCAAAATTTATTCATACATAACATCTTATAGCATCACAATCATTCCACAAAGACATGCATATCGAAGAGTTTATTTTTCGGCTCTGGCCGAGAATGTGCGTGTGTTATAGTTCATTCTGCTGGGAAACCTACAGGTATAAAAATAATAAAGCTAGATTTAGTCTCGCGCTGTTTTATCTACTCACTGAATTCGTCAATGCATTTGTGCACACGAAGGTTTTCTGTTGACGATGAAATAAGACAAATACGCCACAAATCTATTGGTCTTCCAGGATCACGCAAGCGATCACGCCACTGGTCACGCATGAAATCACTGGCTTGTCGCGTCTTTATGTAAACAGTCGGAAGTTCCAATAAACGAAACCAGCAGAAATTTAATTTCATTTACTTGACTTCTTTCAAAGGGGCGCGACAACGTCTGAAATACTCACAGTCTGTGAACTTAAGATCGTCGAGTGTTGGGGGTCGGGGNAACCCTTACATTTTATATGCCATATTTGACATAAAGAGCAACCTTTTCGTTTACCTTCCACATCCCTACAGTATCCTTTTTCCGAACCTTTACAGTCAACGTAAAAGAATCGACCAAGGAATGCCTTCTTTAAAAAATCCCCAAGTCGTTGATTTCAAAACCCAAAAAGCCCTTCGCACCTACTCGTCACCAATAAACTAGTCGTATGTTAAATAAAACTAAACATGTTAAAAAAATATTAAATGGTGTTTAAAAATGTTAACATCTTTTAACACTTTAACATTTAAAAAAAAAAACATTTCTTTTAGAACATTTAACATTTGTTTTTAGATTCAACATGTGAATGAAGGCCCTCTATCCAGGGGCTATTTCAGTCTAAAGAGAGGTGCAAACAAATACGCAAATAAAAAGAAAAAAAGAAAAAAACAAGACTAAAAGGAAAGGAAAAGAAAGCTAACAGCGGAAAATATTTTTATAGATTTACTGGCACTAGCCTTATTGACTGAGCACGCGTTCAGTGGTACCTTATTTACAACTTAACGTTATGTTGAAACTGTAAAGATCCGCAGGGAAAAAAATACCTTAATCTACTGGTCGTGTTTGAAGTCCTGGTCATACAGTATCTGTTGGTGATATAAAAGCTGTCTCCATATGGAATACCTTCGTTATTAACCTGCGACACAGAGAAAATGAATGAAGCGGGTTTTCATAAAACACAATCCTACCACAATCAAATAAATGTTCAGGAAAGTCACTAGTCCTTTATCCTCGCCTAATGAAGTTTACACACATACATAGATCATGCATGAGCAACCCAACAGAAACGGTGATTAATTGAATCCACGAAGTAAGAATGGGTACCAATACCCAGTGTGTGGACAAACCCAGGCTTTGTTTTCGAGAAGCTCTGAAACATTTTAGAGAAAAATTTGTTTATGACATTCACCAAATCACTAACATGCTCTGTCGTTTAATTCTCAAACACTAAATGCAGGCTGAAAGTTATGGTACGGCAGTTACAACGTTTTGGTATTGAGTAGGCATTTTATAGACTGCAGGCAGCTGCTGGATGTCGCGCGCGCATCACGCGTTTCTGTGATCCAGGAGTTCTCCAGGCAACGTCTGTTGCGTTCGCTCTCCCTGAAGAGAGACTGAGACATTCCTTGTCCACTGTAGTAGTCGTGTACTTTGATGATCAAAACCGAAAATGCGAGAACACTTTCTTTGTTACATGCACGATGATATATTAAGGACGTTCGCGCTAACTGTTTCTGCGCATCTTTACTGCACACACGCAAATTCACACGCCACGTCATGCATGAGAGCGCTCGCTAAGTTTAACAAATCGAATGTGGTTTAGCGTTGTCTGCTATATATCTGACTGCAGTAAAAGTTTTAAAAAATCTATCGACTGGAAAATTTTCGCGCGAAGGTCCTTGAGTAACCATAGGCTCAAGATTTGATGTTATAAAAAATGAGGAAACCACAAACCTCAGCTTGTATGATGTACAACTTTCCTGGTACACTACCCTGAAAGCAATGCTGTCAATAAAAACAAAAAACACCAACAAAAAACAAAAAACAAAAAAAACTGTAAGGCTTGGAATCAGGTAATGTAGCTTGGTAAGAGTTACTCCTCGGCAATCTTCATAGTAATAATCTTCATAGCGAACCGAACTTTGACTAACTTGCTTGAGGTTCCCGTACCGCCTTAATTTACAGGATCTTTATAAGCCCTTTATCTCCCATTTTCCTTCCTACCATGGGTGACATCGACTACATGTCAAATAATTTCCGTTCACGATCCCACGTCCCCCTATCCCTTCCCTCACTGGCTAGTAAGCCCACGTCCTCCATCCCCTCCCTCACTGGCTAGTAAGCCCACGTCCCCCATCCCCTCCCTCACTGGCTGGTAAGCCCACGTCCCCCATCCCCTCCCTCACTGGCTAGTAAGCCCACCTTCCCCATCCCCTCCCTCACTGGCTAGTAAGCCCACCTTCCCCATCCCCTCCCTCACTGGCTAGTAAGCCCACGTCCCCCATCCCCTCCCTCACTGGCTAGTAAGCCCACCTTCCCCATCCCCTCCCTCACTGGCTAGTAAGCCGAAAGAACAAGTACCGTTTTCAACAAAAATTTTCTTGATGTTTCCGAGTACTGTTGTCTGAAACAACAGGAAGACTCAAAAACTTTTCCCGTCAGCTTGCCATCGCGGCACGACACCTCAAGTTGCTAGGCAAACCCCCTCTTGAAAACTGTGCCCTCAGTCAGTTTAGTTAAGGTAAAACTATTGCTTTAGCGTCCTTCAATGTTTGATCATATGTTAGCGCATCACCTCTCCTTAGAAATCGCTAGACATTTTTTTTCTATTAAATATAGTTTCGAGAATTTGGTTGTATATTGAGTCTACAAGACCCTGATTTGCGTTATTCTCATCACTCACCTGGTTGATAATGTACTGATTTTGAAACGGCGAAAGAAGAAATGAAGAACTGTATTATTAACAAGGCTTACCTGTTGTTCCGTAGTGGGTGAATGTTTGGGTCCAAGAGCATGATTAAGTGATACTGTATAAGTGATTGTTCTTCTCTGACCATCCTCTGCTGTCTCCCATGGGTTTAACACCAAATCTACACAACACAGCGAGAAATTTGCATTAAAATTTAGTGGAGAACAGACTTACAACAAGTTCTTTAAGGCCTTGAAAATAATTAAAAATATATATATGCCGAATTCTTAGTCCAAGATTATAAATAATTCTTAAGACAGACATACAGCAATTTTTGTAAATGACCTATAAGTATAATTGTTCACGATAAACCATACAAGTTTCACTTCAAAGCGAGACTTGAAGTTGAAATTAGATAGTCTGACGTCAGCATGGATAAGAGCCATAACATAAAAGCCGGCGTTTTCAAATTCCTCCAGTTTGTACAGCGTTTTCGAAAAGCTCCTTTTTGTGACGGACTAGTGTGGACGGCAGGCCTAACCGTAGACTGAATAAAGCTGCGTTTTCAAATCTCTCCGGCTTAGTGTGGACGGGCCGTAAAAATGCACGCTCTACACGCGCTGCGGCTCAAAAACGTCGTATAATCAAGAGGTCAATCAGGCACCGACTGGCATTGACAATAGAGAAAAACAAGCAAGGAAATGACTGATGAGTGATGGATCCATCATCAACAGTAAAACACACAAACTTTACCCTTGTTAAGAATGCAGTTACACACCTTTTGTCCGTCTTCCTTTTTGTACTCTTTTGTAGAAATCAGACTCTGTGAAGAGGTATTCATACAGGGTATCCACGCTAACAGGAAACTCCTGAAAACAGCCACAACAACGTTTCAACAAATTTTAACCAGTTAGTTCAAGGAAAAAAAAATATCGCGCCGAGACTTGGAAGCAGACATCGGGAGATGGAGCCAACTAGGGAAAAAAGTCCAGGACAGATAGGTTTCAAGGACTTAATGTCCCAGGAGAGGGTACTAGGTGTGAGGAAGTAAATGAGTCAAAGAATAAAAGTACCTTAGTAACTAAACAAAAGTATCGCGACAACTTAATTTTGAGATTTTGGTCGAGAGAAACATATATTACGGGACACTAAATTTTCACGAGTACTTTTTAAAAACAATCAAGATAAACTGTGAGTAACAAAGAACCATTCTGCCATTTTGCCATACGGGATGCACTAAGGATTTTTTTGGTCCGATCAGAAATAGCATGAGAAGTCTGGCAATAGTCACGTGAACATTTCCCAAGTCATACTTCTTAGCATTTCCCTTCCCCTTCCTCTTATCCCAGGGGCCTCCCTCCCTTTTCACTGCTTTGCTTCACAGTAATGCTTTTTCTGAATGCTAATTACTAAAGGTAGTCAAAAGTATAAAATCATATCACACACCTCGTTGACAATCTCTTTGCTTAGATGGGTATCACAAACACATTTTACAGGAACTGGTGAAAAAGAGTTCACAAAACTGATAAACTATAAGTAATCTTTCGATGTGTTAATAATTCTAACTTGGCTTGTTTTTCACTGATACTGTCTCAGTAAGAATTTTCATTTGGCTACGTCCTTGCACATGTGATCTCTTTCAAGTTGCTTTATTTCTGACAGGGCAAATCGACTTTCACCCTGGCTTAATTAGTTCTATTCAAATCATCTCGTTTCTCCTTCAAATACCATTACAGAACTTCAAAACTCATTCCCTCCTTTAGACTTGCCTGAAAAGTTGAGCTGTATAAGTCAAGCTCGGAGCAAAAAATCGTGTATGACACTTGAAGCTTGAGTGCAAAGTGCACTAGGAAAGGAAGTGCAAGAGCAACCTTTTGCATGAAGACTACCTACAGCCATGAAGGACTTAAACAAGTCTATCTTACCATCTGCATGTTCATCCTCATGAAATTCAGAGGCAGTACCTTCCTCCTCTAGATCACTACTTAGATCTTTCTTTTCCTTAGGAACAGGAGACTCTTTTGCCGTCATCTTCCTCCTTATAGTACCAGGAGACTTAAGCAAGCTTTTGAGTTGTAGATGAGGAGATGTTGATCTGGGGCGAGGTTGTGTGTCTGTTACACCACTGTCCACAGTATTCTCACCTTCTGGACGTAGCAACTGGCCATTTTCAAGTCCTGTGGGTGACAGTACCCCAGGCGATGGCGGAGTGACGGACACTACTGGTGCATTCTCACTGTCCTTATCGGGCACAGTCTAAAGAAAAAGTGCAATTTACAATTACAAGAATTGAGGTGTGCACTGAAATTTATATCAAGAAGTCTGGGATTGGAATCCTGAGAACTATACATGTAACAAAAGCCAACTTTGCTCCATGAAGAAGCTGAATGATGCTTTTCATCAACCATCTGTTGTAACTTACTGAAAAGACTGGAATCTACAGAATAAAACTTAGACATATTGCTGCATGCAGACATAATAAAAAGTGTATTGATATGTTTTTCATTGCTTTTGACAATCAAAGTTAACAGAAAAAATGTATCAAGTACCTTCATTATTGTACTACTGCCCTTTTATCTGATGGAAGGAAACCCTCAGTTGTTATTGAAGACTGAGGTGAATTGAAACAAAACTTTACCTGATTTTCAGGACCAAGTTCAGTTCCAAGAGAGCTTTGACTACGTGATGAGACACTGTCTGAAGGCAATTCTCCTTCCACGTCACCTTCACTTCCTGAATCTTCAAACACTCCCTGTTTTTCATCATCATCAGAATCATCATTATCAGAACTGCCTTCTTTCCCTTCTGAGTATTTGCCAACCACCTGAATTAGTTCTGATGGACTCAGGGGCTGAAATGAACCAACACAAATAATGTAAAAACAAATTAACAATAACAATAACAATAACAATAACAATAACAATAACAATAACAATAACAATAACAATAACAATAACAATAACAATAACAATAACAATAACAATAACAATAACAATAATAATAATTATAATAATTATAATAATAATACATATAATAAATTACTTTTAACTTGGTATGCAGATCCAAAAAAGAGAGAGGGGCAATTAAATTTCAAAACCATGTAGTAAAAGGAAGCTAAAAAGGTAACCTTACAGAGTTTGTTTGAGCCACTTCCCCTTCTTGTAAAATTTTTTTTTACAATATGTGGAAATTTCCCCAAAGCTGGTCAATAATTTTATGTACTAATCAATCAATCAGTCAATTAATAGCATAGGAGAAACCTCATGTTTGAGTCACAAGCAGTTTGAAAGGCAGAGCAGCAAGAACAAGTTTAAGTCAAGCATGCAGGCAGAAAATCATGTTGACTCAGTAATCTCATGGATTTGCCACTTGAACATGTGACCCACACATGAGCCTGTTTCATGGCTAAGGAATTCATCAAATGATTTATTTCCTTAATAACAACAACAATCCAGGAAGTAGTATTGAGAGTAATGATTTGATACATACCTGATCTAAAAGAGCATTTTGCCAAATTCTAAAAAGAACTGTGTATGCTGTGTCTCTTGATATGAACGAAGCAAAGAAGTACTAAGGAACAAAAACAACATTGTTTCACAATCACGATTTTGATTCAATTCAAGTTTTGCCTTAAATCTGACTCAAATTAATTTACAATCACTTGAAACATTGCCAAGAAGATGGGTGGAAAAACTTTTCTAGACTAGTACTGACACAATTTATTTGTCTTCCAAATATTACAGACTGAAATCCATAATATAATTAGTCAGGAGAAACAAAGCTGGAACCTAAACTTGGTAAATAAAATAACAAGGCATTAGGGTACACACCTTTTCAGTCTCTGTACAAACTTGAACAGCATTTGGTATAACCAGAGCAGTCTTCTCTTTCCTTATGCTGCTTATCTCTGTACACTGTATTGTCACCTGAAGGGCAGCACACCAAAACAAGTTTCAAGAGGTACCTATTGACTTGACGACTTCAAATGTACTGTGCAAGAAAATATCCATACCCCTCCCAGAGAGGGCTTTTCTTAGTTTGACAAACCCCCCCACCCTACATCCCTCTGGAAATTCAAGTTTTGTTTCATATTTTCCTTTGAACATTTTGGCTTTTGAGACTCCCCACCCCCCTTGGACTGGGGATGGATATTTCTTGGGATCACACAATTGGAGAATTGTTATACTTTGTGTTAAAATATGTTATACTTACAAATGTTTCCCAGCCAAATATGTTGGCATAGAAACAGAGCCAGTTTTGAGAGATGTACAATCTGCCATGCACTAAAATGTCTCTCTGTAATGCACATGAGTAATCTGCAAGAAAAACAATTTAACCTCAAGACCATTACAATGTTCACTACCTTTCTGAATACTTGCAATGAAATTATGTGGAATCTGTTATAATAAGCCAAATACTGTAAGCTTAGCTTTTCCTCTAACATCTTTAAAGTTCTTGGCAAAATATCCTGGCTGGAATAATTTGTAACTTAGATTCTTGAAGATCCTTGCAGATCCTGACACAAAGGTCAATAAGCTCTATGAGGATATTGGCAAGAACATTTAAAGATCTTGTTAAAATGTAGAACTGTACTTGCTTGATGTGAGTCACTGAAGAAATAAAGTGCTGGAAATGACTTGCCTACTATAAGTTGCTCGCTTTCAGGAAGTTCCTTAAACAACCTCTTGAAGTCTCCACATTTTGTCTTGTAACTTGAAAATATCTACGGGTATATAGGTGGAGATATGAATTACAAATCAAGTGATAAGTTGTAGAAGACATCTGGTTCACACAACTTCATTTATCCAATGCGTGGAACCACACATTTAAATTTGTCACCTACAGTATGACCTTAAAATACACAATCAATTGTCATCCATTGAGATAGAGCTACCTGATTAAATGAAGCAGGAAGCCAATTTCCAGGTGACTTCTGAAAAGACAAAAAATGGATGCAACGTCACACTAAATTGTCAGTGATAAATTATTAATGCATGTAAAATGTTGCACAAAAGAACATTTTTCTTCCACAAAAAAGACTGAGTTGTCTTAAGAATTGAACACATGAGCTCACAGGTGATTTTGATGCTGCTTTGTTTCCCTTGCTAGTTTTCCTCTCTGTCTTGGTAGCTGAACTAGGAGGTGTTGATCTTCTGGAAGGACTCAGATCTCTTATTTTAGACCTCAAACTGTTTGTTATACTTTTACTGCAAGAGAAAGATTGATATATTAGGTTTTTTAACTGTTCAACATTAGTGCACAAAAATTAAATACTATCATAGTAATTTTATTACACTTCACGATTACAAGTCATGTACTTGTAATATTGCCTCTGCTAGAGCTAGTACTTTCTGTCCTTTGTTTGTCTGACATGCAACTAAAGTTTTTTGGGGAAATCTTTGGGTACATTCAAACAACAGGAAAACAGTGTACTGTAACAGATTATGTTTGTAAGAAGTTTTTACAGCATAGTGAGAATGACTTTCAGGCTAGTACTTAGCCCTAACAACATTCTTAGAGAGCACTCAAGCAATATTTGTACATGAAGTAAAATTTTACGTTTCAGAATATTCTGTCACGAGACGCATTTAGACCAATCACGTGCCACCCAGAATATTTGATAGATTATAAGCTCAGATATTTGTTTTTGGACATTATCTGTCCCGCAAAGCTCACAGTTTTCCCGGAGCTCTGCTCTAGGAAAACTGTTCGCTTCTCGGAACAGATAACGTCCACGGATGAATATCCAAGCACAATTTTGGGCCAGATGGACGCTATTGCTGATATAATATAATATAATATTGTATACACGTATGTATATGCTTTGGGACTTTGCACTTGCTATCAGACAGGTAACAATTTGTGTTCATTTAGGATACAATTCCAGTATCAAATATTACCTTCTTGGAGAGGTTCTTTGGACACTTGAATCATCACCATCATCAGGACTGCCAGTAATAAAGAATTATCACATCATTTAAAAAAATAGTAATTTGTTATTTCAGACACCAAACAATATACTACAGGGCACAATGGATTAAAGGATAAACGAGTAGTAATCGTAGATTAAAATGAAATCTGTTTCCTGGCAGCTATGGTCATACTGGACAAACATTAGAATGCATGCATATTATAACACAAGAACAATAAATGCTGTGAGAACATCAAGTGACCATATGTTTATATACTATGTTGAATTATTTGTGCATTTTTTGATCGATTCTTACTTATGATCTATTGGAGGAGAGACATTCAGAATAACTTCATTAACATTTTTCCCTTGCTTTACTGTATAAAACAAGTAGATTCTTTGTTGTTAAGCATCTGTTTAGAAACAGATCACAAATGACAAACTGTGGTAAGAACATCAGTGACACACTTAATGGCCTGTGGGCCACTTTTTTGTTGTCACCAAATTTTGACGCCATCTGTGATCTACTACTGAACAGACACAAAGCAGCTTGGAGTCTATTTGTAAATTTCAGAGCTGTTTTTTTTTTTCCCATTAAAAAAATACTAAATATATCATTTGTTTGACTTCCTCTTTCTGCTCAACCAGCCTTTCAGTTGGGTTATCAAATACGCATACGAATACCAAGCTAATGCTTATGAACCCCTCACAACTGCATAAAATTATCCTTTTAAAAAAAGCAGACGGCTATGTCAATATAATTTACCACTGAATTTACAGATTACAAAATTTAGTAAAATTTATTTGGCTTAAATTCTCGTCCATAATAATTGCAATAATATTATGATTGAGTTTTTGCAACAGTTATGAGAAAAACTGTTTTGATATTTCAATCATCAGTAAAATAAAAACATCTGTTTCTGAAAGACGTCTGTAGTCCTAAAAATCATCACCCACTCCTTATGACTGCAGAACTAGAAAAAATTTGGATACACTGCGAAGTGCTACATAATTTCAGCAAGTCATTGGATTTCAGAGATTAATTCTTAAAAGATTCAAACGTGGATCGGAGAAAAAGTACAACAATTAATAAGTTTAATGCGAATAGAATGACGAGCAGGAAAGGTTATTTATGCAGGCTTAAGAATTAAATCCACAAGTTGATTGTCACCTATGTTACAAGCTCAAACCTCTAGCTTTTTCTGCAAGACAAACATAAACCATTTTTTTTTTCACATACTCATCTGCCATCTCGTCAGGAGGAGTAACACAAAATGTAACCTTGCGTTAAAAAATTCTGTTAAGCTTAATTGTAATTAAGCTTACATGCTCTTTATAATAAAAATAAGCTAACCTTTCAAGCAGATCTTCCTGTGAGGAGGAAAACTCTTTCGCTTTCCTGTTCGACATAAAAGGAAACACCTCAACTCACAACATAGCGTTAAAACTTAAAACACATAAAAAGTCTCTAAACAAATCTGCTTCAACCCACAAGCGTTTGAAAAATTGATCTTTACATGTCACCTTGTGGTCGGTTTCGTGTCGTCAAGATTAAGTTCTTCCTCTTTGCCGAGGTTGGAACTCTCCAAGTCAAGGCTTGCCGGTCTCTCCTTCTTTGTTTCACTTCCTTTACTATTAATTGTATCTGAGGCATTAGAGGATAAACTGTCCTCCATGCCAGCTCTATTTGTATTTATAATTTTCCTTCGGTGTATCTCATGACGGAGATTTCACTTGTTCGTTTCTTGTATTTACCCCCAGAATGGCCGCATTAGTTCCTAGTTCTCCTCGGTCGCTTACAGGGAAACCATATAAGCGACATATTTAATAGTTGCGGGTTGTTTTCTTTGAGAATACAATTTATCTTGAGTGGTTCAAAAGTGTTTGTGCATTAAAGGTTGAAAATTTATATAGCCAAGCTAGAGTAAAAGTGTAAATACTAGTGTAAAACTAAAAATAGGAGAATTCCCTCCGTCCACAATTAGCCTCGCTTTGGTGTGATTAGACAGATCGCCAAAACGTTCATTTACTTCTTCATAACCAGTGTTAAAAGGTTAACACCACGATTAAATACGATCACGATTAAATTAAAATAAGCGCGGCTCCCAAAAGTGCAGTTGGAATTGATTTGACTGGAAATCATGACTTGGAGCTTCCGTGGCGGGGGAAGGAACACTCGAGGTGCAAACTCTTACACTAAATACAATTTTTGACAGAATAAGTAACCCTTTTATACACCTTCCACAGAACATGGTACTCTTTCACATGCCTACAGTATGCTTTTACCAACCCTAAAACGTCTACAGAGCCGTGAATCGTTTTACAATTAAGAAAGAAAAGCATTTGTAACTATTGATAGACTGGCCCGCCTAGACTAGCATAGTATCCGCGGGACAGTCCAACTGTAAAATGAACATTCATTAAGAAATAATAAAAAAAAGACTGATTGAAAATGATTCAAAAAACGATTACCCAAAATGGGTCCACCAGAAAATTTCTAAAAGTTTAGCCTGCGAAGCAAGCGTTCCCGCGGGGTTTGGGAGCAAAGAAAGACCGAGTCAACTTCAACTTCACTTTATTTTGCACTAACAGTTTTGAAATTACAATATTAACACAAAAAAAGAAAAAGGTACATATGTAACGATTAAAGGTGACAATGGTCTATAGTTTGTGCATGGAGGCTAATAGAACCGCGAGAAAATTCCGTTCCTCGGAACGGGATTTTCGGATTTTCGCTCCATTTTTCGCGCCGTAATTCTTTGCTCCCGAACCCCACAGAAACGCTTGCTACGCAGGCTACTAAAAGTTCGAAAGTGTTATTAAAAAAAAGAAAAAAAAGAGCCTCCACGCGCCTCCTCGTGAAATGAAAAATATTGCCTATTTCAGACCAAAACAGTTAAAAAGCAACATGCGCTTTTGGACAGCACATACCTAAATATATAGCCTCTATACATAAGGAAGTACCCCCGGTCACCCACAGGCCAGGCAACTGTGAAATGGTGAAGACTAATTCAGTAGGTCCCTAAATTTACTTATTTGATTATACTCTTATACAATATTCATTACTCAACCCATTGAGGCAACTCTTTGCCATTGAACTAGTAAGCCTATTTTACTGCCATTTTGAAAAGGATAGAAAATTTATCCCTGCTAGATTCAGACGAAACTGCAGGCTTTTCCTTTCACAGTTTCCCCCTCTGTCCAGATCAACCCACATACACGATCAGCACCCTGGAGCGAGTTTAACTCGAAGAGGTTGACGGGTAATTTGCAGCGGCTCAAGCGGCAACGAAATAAGGGTTTTACCGACTGACAACATGGCGTCTGGTGACGGAGATGACTCACTTTATCCGATTGCTGTACTGATAGATGAGCTTAGAAACGAAGATGTTCAGGTACAAAACGAAATATATTGGTTTATATTCCTTTTGCTTTCTTTATGAATGGATTTTCGGGTTTTTTCGTGGCGTCTTGAGCTTCGAGCATTCGTCACTAACTTCGTGGTAATCTGACTTTTCCTAACACTTTTAGCTACGGCTGAACTCTATCAAGAAACTCTCGACCATTGCCTTAGCTTTGGGTGTGGAAAGAACAAGAAGTGAACTCATACCTTTTCTAACAGGTAGGTTATCAGTAATTATGCTTTTTGTCGTACTCAAATTTGTACGAACTCAGACATGATAGAACGATCAAGCTTTTGTGAATTTTATAATCGCGTTTTGACATAAAATTTCAGGAAATTCACATCTTTTTTAAAACGTATAACATGTGTTGGTGTACGTAGATTAGTGTTCAATTATTCAGTTTGTGTGGACGCGTTTCAAAACGATGTTTACATCTAGAAAAGTTAGGCTCAAGCTGATATCTTGTTAAGTTTTTCATGNAAAAGGTTCCTGAGGATGTTCGTGAACAGGTCTTAATGACACATTTACTTCCGTGTGTCAAGGTATGGTGTCATGTTACTGGGTTTTCTTCTTATAAATGTTTTGTTGAAGTTTAACGTAGGTACCGGCAAGAGTAACATGAACATGTGCTAAGTAAACATGATTGTATGTCATATATACAATAGAACAGCAAGTAGTAATTATCAGTGTGTAAACATACTGACCCATTTTCATTGTTTTTCCACTAGTGTGACCCTATCATTTTTAAATCTCTTCATCTACTTGCCGTGATTACATCAGAAACAGAACTCTTCCTTATTTTTGTCGGTCAAGAGGCATAGTTTGATGAGGATTTACTGATAGGCCATGAGACCTTTGTGAAAACCTAGATATTTTCAATGTGTTCTCCCCAATGTAAAGCGAAAAATTGTTTGGTATAATGCTTGTTGTCAATATTGTTTGTTTTACCGTAGGACTTGGTAATGGATCCTAACCAACATGTAAAATCTGCCTTAGCATCGGTTATAATGGGACTTTCACCCATGTTAGGAAACGATAAGTAAGTACAATTACATTTGTAAAGGCCATTGTTTTTTTTTCTGTTGTTCTACTATACATGTATGTGCTTTTATTAGTCTAAGACTGCACATTCTTTTCTACAAATACATGTTCATTAACTAACAAGTAAATCATGGAAGTTTGTATGTGTTTAATTTTTTTTCCTTTCCTCGTATTTTTACTTTCTAGCACTATTGAACACCTTCTTCCACTGTTCCTCACAATGTTAAAAGATGAGGTAAAGTTGTTCACCCTTTACACTAGAGCACCTCAGTTTATTTTCAAACATAACCGAAGAACTGACACTAAATGTTCATGCACTAACAAGACAGAGTCCTAAGGTTATCTTATCATGAGAATTGAAAGTTCTCTATCGCAGCATTGGACACAGGACATGTTAAATTAAATTTACATGAAGTGGTTTTTTCTGTTGTTAAAGTTTTTCCTGAATTATAGCTAAGTAAGTAAAGTAAATTGATGGAAAGTCAAACCTTTATTCATACCAAATATGCGAAAATTGTCATTAGGCATGGACGTCAGTAACTAACATACATGTAAAATGGATAGCTGGTCATTCTGTTGCCTTCTTGAAACTCACAAAGGCTGAAGTTTTTTGGTTGAATGTCTTTCTCAGTTGTTATAAACATTGTCTTTCAGATTTATGCAAGTCAGTGTCAAACACCATTTATGTTACATGTACCATTATTTAAGTGTCAATTATGTATGAAGCTTTTCCATACTAATTGAAAGAGAATAGGAATAATTGTAAAATATTAAAAAACTATATAATGAGAAAATACTGTAATTGTTAAACTTCTCATAGAGATGTTCATTAACAAACTCAAAGATGACTTGTTTGGTTATGATATATTTCTGGTTAAAATAACGGTTGGCTACAGTGTGTATCATACAATCACATTCTGGTGATTTCCATCCTGACTTGCATAATAAAGTAGAAATGTATAATAATAAACTTCACTCATGTATAGAATCTAGGAAAACTTGTGACTGTTCCTAGTCTAGGCCTTGTGCCACAGTAGAATGTTGGATGTATTGAGCTTTGCTGAAAGATAATGTCAAGTTTGTGCTGGCCATCAAAGTCAACTAAGCTGTAGGTTTTACAGTAATTTGATAGCATAAGTTCTCACAAATTAGTAGTGCTTTCTTGATGTGAAAAATCTCTTCCTCTTCAGATTCCTGAAGTACGACTCAATATTATATCTAACCTGGACTGTGTCAATCAAGGTGAGGTGACAGTCAGAACAGTGAAGTGAATTGTTTTGTGCCAGTTTTATCTTGCGGTTAAATACAATGGACAAGAACATTCTACAGGAGAGTGCCTATGTAAACTATTATACATCCATACAAACTGCTACAAAATAGCACCATACAGTTGACGGCATGTAAACAAAGACATGTCTGGTAAAATCCACTTGTTAACATTAATAACTGACAAGTGACAACAGCAATTCTTCAGTGATTAACTTGCTTTTAAGCTCCTAAAGCTATAAAGAAATGTACCATTGAGTAATCTGACTTAAAGGTTTACCACTTACAGTATGTAAAATGTAGGATCAGATTTGAAGTTGTTGTATTATTTTCTTTCAGTTATCGGCGTTAACCAGTTGTCACAGTCTCTGTTACCTGCTATCTTTGAGCTTGCTGGAGACACCAAATGGCGTGTACGACTGGCAATCATAGAATATATGCCATTATTAGCCAGTCAGTTGGTATGTTCTATTTTGTGAAGTTTAATGTTGTTATGTGTTTAATGTTATTATAGCTGCAGTGTGCCAAACTTCACCTGAAATCACGGCAAACAAATATTGTAGCTGAATGGTTGAAGACTGAAATTCTATTTTCTCAGTAAATGTTTCTAGTTATACTGTACATGTGTTACTGGTTTAGTGTTTATACCAGTCCTGCTTGTATACATATCTGGTATTATGTAGTACAGTTATCAGTGGTATTCAGAGCAACTTTATATTGTTACTGCAGGGAGTAGAGTTCTTTGACGAGAAGCTTAACAGCCTGTGCATGACTTGGCTTGTAGATCATGGTAAGCAAGTACAGATCTATAATGTGGTCCAGATCACATCGTTTGTAGGGAATTCTTAGATTGAACAAAACTACATCTATCTCTCTCCCCTTGTAATGTTGGTGAATTTTGTTACTCCTTTCGGTGTTTCAAATATGGAGCTTGACTGGTGCCTGGACCAGAAAAGAAGCCATTAGTGAGGGCATTAGATTGCAGATTCCCAGTTTCAGAGCTAAAATCCGATCACAACACACACAAAAAAACGGTTTGTTTTGTAGTAATGCAGGCAGCATTATTTAAACTATTACTAATATTGTTGTTTCAGCTTGACAATTTATATCCTGGGGGAGAGTGAGCAAAATTGTTTAGTAGAGTACTGCTTGAAATCCAGGGTTAAGAGTCAGCTTTAGGGCCACTTACACTTGCCCAGACTGAAGCTTAGTTGATTTATTTTTGTCACTTTCTCTCTTGTTTAGTATATGCTATCCGAGAAGCAGCTGCAAAGAACCTGAAAAAGTTAGTGGAAAAGTTTGGAGCTGAATGGGCTCAGGTAAGAATGTGACTGTGCCTACTGTCTACATGGAACCTATTTAGTTTGATTTATTCAGGTATATGGAACTACATCGGTTTTAAAGCTAAGCAAAACAGCTGTTTTATTTTGAAACATAGTGGAAACGTCTGGCTGAGAGATTAAACATTGTGATTTTCTTGTCAATGTAATGTCGCTTATCCTATACACTGCATATTGACCTACACCTGGCTGGTGTAGGTCAATATCGGAGCATACGCCAGAAGAATCTTTTTAACCTTGTAGTATTTTTTTCTCTCCCCTCCTAGAACCAAGTAATTCCCAAGGTGTTATCCATGGCTACAAATCCTAACTATCTTCACCGTCTGACCACACTCTACTCAGTAAACGTAAGTTGTCGATCTTACGCGAATGGAATCATGCATAGACTAGGTCTATTTTTGATTTCCTGAAATGTGTGCAAGAAGTACACTGACTATCACCCTGCAATACTAAATGACAGCAAATTTGTTCAATCGTGAGGGATTTATTTTCGGACTTCGGTTTCAAAATACCTTGAGCCGCAAAAGGACAAAGAAGCGTACATGTATCTCAAACCCTTATTGGAGGACCACTTCAGTAAATTAACTGTGACAGAAAGCAAAGTGCTCTGACGAAGGACGAACGCTCAAAACGTCAGCAACGCAAACTGAAACTCGTTACAGCGGTCAATTTGCCTTTATTACCATCTTGTTGACAAAAGCTGTGTCCACGTGCCCTTCTTCACAGCCAAACAGTTCTCTAGAAACTAATATCTTTTTGGAATATTTGTCTCATGGTGAAATTCATTTTAGCAGTAATGAGGACAGTCCTACTTGGCCTCTCACATTTTTTCAAAAATCTACTTTTGTTTTAAGTATGTTAAACTAAAAATAGTCTGTAAAATTATTCCCATCAGTGGAATAACTCGTAATCTACACATGTACGCAGTGCGGACCTGCATTTTTTTCGGTAAGTTTGTTTTATGTCAGTAGTGGTTAAAGTGTCTGTCGTAATATAGTTACCTCGCGCGCGTGTTGTGTTGCAGGTTTTAGCAGAGGTCATGGGACCAGAGAGTGTGGTGAAACTCATGCTTCCAGTCGTAATTGGTTTAGCAGCTGATTCTGTGGCCAACGTTCGCTTCAATGTCGCCAAAACCCTCCAAAAAATCGCTCCTGTTCTGGATGCGAAGTGAGTAGTACCCTCTATAAATCAGTTGCAACTTACCAGTGCAGGGCTGATAATTGCAGAGCTTAGAGTGGTTTTCAATTGAGTGTTTTGTTTTTACAACGATTTCTTTGAAATTGGCTGAGTAGTGTAATTGTTTAGTAATTGGTTTGGTGTTAGTTTTTGTGGCACTCAGTTGAAAACCGTTCTATCAAATGCTTACCCAACGTTAACACATAATTGCGTTTGCAGGTTATTGAAGTAAGCATGTTGAGTTTGTTTCTTTTGTTTGCACAGCACCATCACATCACAGATTAAACCAGTCCTTGATAAACTTAATGCTGATGCTGATGTAGATGTGAAGTATTTTGCTCAGGAAGCCTTAACAGGTACAGTGTCACAGAACCTCGCTGAATGTTACGAGTATGAGCAGTTCATCGGTAGTGACCGTGCCAAGTGATTCAGACCATTACACTTGACGATCAGAGAATCACTTAATGTGCACAGCTATTGTTTACTTACAATTGATCATCACTGTGAAAGTAGAGTCACGGGAGACACAGTATGGGTCATCTGATTTGGGTTTTCCTTGAAGATGCCCACAGGGTCCTCAGGGTTAATTGACACACAAAGATCTTCTAGTCTTTGGTCTTAAGTTTGTAAAATGACGAACACAAAATACAGTCCGCTAAGAAATTCGAAAGTGACACCTAAATATGGCTCAACACCGAGCCCAGAGAGAAGCAGAAATTGTCGAAATGTCAACTCTCACTAAAAGGATTGGTACCGATTCCAGATATCATAGCTGTCGCTAATTTATGCGCAGATCTATGTTAATTTATGTTAATAATTTTGAAACAGCTGATACTACTTGAAGACTTCCTGTGATCTTGCTTATTTTGTGGTCGTTTGCTTCTTGAATTGTTCAATAGAATATTTCAATACAGGGGAACCCTGCCTTACTACCACCCCGTTAATACAGTCACCTCGTTATTACGCCACTTTATTCTGGCCCGAGCAAAAGCTCAGTCAGTCATTTTCATATTTAGAGAACCCCTTCAATACGGCCACCCCGTTAATACGACCAAATGTTTGTGGCCTGTTGGTGACCGGATTAACGGGGTTCCACTGTAGCTTCAGGAAGGTAAATTTTAAAGCCATTGTCTGTCATATTACATCTTCATATTACGAAGTATGTTCATCTTTGCATAATGCAGGATAAAGACTGCGCTCAATGTTGTTCTCCTACCAAAGCTTTTGTTTGTCTTCTTTCTTAGTTTTCTAGTAACTACTTCAAGTCCGATGCATCAAGATGTCTCGTCGTTTATGCAGCTCCTATGTGCTGTCAACCCTCCCTTGCTGTCGTTATAGTAACCTCTGAAAACTGCTTATCCTGCAGCGGATGAACATTTGAACCCGACCACACCCGTGATACACCTGTTTGGGCAGTGCAGTTACGTATTTTAATGATTTCAAGTAGACATCGTGCGGAATTAAGGTTGTTTCGTAATTAACTTACCTGTGTTAACTGTGCATGAAGTAAAACAAAACAAAATCAACCCCTCTCCCCCCACCCACTAAGTGACGCACATTTCGAAGTTGTTATTTCGTGGACAAGTACAGTAAGTCTATTGTTGCAAAAGAAATGCTTCTTTTTTTATATATCATTTTTTGTATTTCGTCAGAAAGTGTGCGGAAGAGGAGCCGGAATAATAAAAAAGGCCGGGATCCGGTTAGTAAACGGTCTGTGGTAGAGCACAATGTTGCTTGGATTGCATTTTTGTAATTAATGATAGATAAAGCGAAGTCGCAACAGAAATTCATATGAATTTGCCGTTGCAAACTTCATATGACATTAATTTTCTGTGTTCACAGTTGAAAAAAAATTGCTCTTTTGCTGTGGATTTTATTAGTAAGTATTATTTTGGTAGTTATACAACCTGTATAGCTTTGATTGTCGCTGTACGTGTAAACGAAATAACATTGAATATTGTATTAAAGTTCTTTGCTCTCAAATATGTTGGTTTGGAGTTTTTACGTGGGCTCTAATCCAGATTGGTCCGTAGGTCATTTAAGAAATAAGACGTAACAGGACACCGCCAGCCTTATTTTTCTTAGAAATAAGCGGCCGCGGAACGATTGAAGATTAACATGCTTGCATCATCGTTTGCCTCGATACCGATCACTCGATGGGTTGTGAATTTTTTAAGACGTTACTGATCTACAAACCCGTTTCCAGACACTTTTTTGTGCTTGGCGCTCGCCCGCAAGAGGACAAGAATACGATGAAAGTGTTGCGCGCTTTTCATATGCACAGTTTGAGAGGATGATTATAGCCATCTTTGAAGCCCTCTTTTCAGCCTAAGCTGAATTACATTCTGAATACTTGATCTTTTCTTGGGCTTTTGTTGAAGCCTGTTTGAATGCGCTGAAATTTTCATCCCAAGCTGAATGTCATTCAGGACTGAAGCTTTCTCCATGTAATCGCCAACTTCATTTCTAGAGAATAACTTTCGGAACCCGGTCGGAAATTACTCTTTTAATCACCCCTAAATGAAATTTACGTCGGCGAAGGCTCCTATCCCAAGTACACTGTCTGAGGATACTGGACTACCGACTTTACACCATGTTGGTAAAGGACTGATCAAAAAGTGCGGGGTGGGGGGTGGGGCGGGATGCATGTGGTGGTTAGAAAACACGACCCACCCCTACCATTTGGCACAACTGAGTGACCCATCCCTAAATGAAGGGTGAAAATCACATGACCCAACCCCTATTAAACATAATATTTTTGGTTGCATAATCCAAAATCACATTTAATGTATGAAATTGTGGTATCGTTTGCCTTAAGGATTTAGGTCATAATTGTTTTCCTTTACTCTTGCAACTTTGAGTCAAGTCTGTAAACTCTAAGAAAACTTGATCTTAAACCTTTCACACTTGGTCTCCAGCCTCGCTACGCGTGGATCAGTGATCCATCTAGAAATAGGCTGTAGTGAGTCCTGGGAGTCACATAACCAGTAAACTACGAGTCATAGATCTATGAACGTGTACAAATAGCTTGTAGACACAAGTTGGCCATTTGGTGTTCTTGAAGACCAGCATGTCGACAGAGCGCAGTATACCGCGCAGTATTTTGAAAATTTCTGCCCTGGGACTCCTTGCTCTGTTAGACTTCTTAGCTTTCGTACAGATTTTACAATGCACGAAATTGTCATCTCTACCAGTACACCAGCCAAGCGTACTTTTTCAACCACGGCTTTAAAAGTTTTCGTCTTTTCGAAATGCAAGGAGTTACCGCTGTTGTCGATTGTGTCAAATGTGTGCCAGTTCCTGTTAAAAAACAAAATGACCCACCCCAATGGGAAAATGAAAATTGATCGACCCACCCCTTACCAAGGGCTCAAAAACTGATGAACCACCCCTTCTCAGCTCCGCCCACCCACCCTCCCCCCAATACTTTCCGACCAGTTCCTTATGCTGGCTGGATTGACAAGTAAGCATACCCTGTAATTTTTTCGTCCCAGGACCTCCAACTCTCACGACCATGAGATCGAGGCAAAACAAAAAAGAAAGATGTATCGGTCAATAGCAGATTTTCTTGTGCGAGACCGAATTTTCGTAAGTGAGGTAAGTCTCGAACCCAGGCCGATAGATCACTTATCCGGAATCAGTTTTTGCTGTTTTGGCTTAAAATCCCTAACCCCACTAGTATAATGCCCACAGCCCAAACCCACATAAGCAAGTCCATTTTTGGCGCCAAATTAAAAGCTTGGAGACACAACATGTTTCCTATTTTCATTATTTACAATCTGATATGGTTTGGAAATTAATAAACCCGCTTCGTAAATATTGAATGCCGTCTCCAGTGAGAAAGGTTGCCCGACTTGAATGCCATGTGATGTCAGAAAAGCACGTCAGTTTTTCTCGCCGGCTGAAACCTAATTGGTCAATTGAAATTTCAGGCGACCGACTGTGCCACAGGCTCTCCCTTCGGAGGGGTCCCGGATCGTCTGAAAATGAAAGACACGACCCCTACACGGACGGGATTAGAAGCTAATTAGGAAGAAAGTGGAAACATATTCTACAAGCCCAGACATGCCAGACCCATACATGTTGACAGTAATGCTCTTGAGCTCAACTTTATCCTGATAATGGACACAGAAAGAGATAGAGGTAAATTTGATAGCATAGAAGTGAACATTCCCCAGATAGCATTCTCTCCTCATTACAAAGTTTAGTAAGTTGCGTGTTTACAAAAGGATATAGCGCGTCTGGGACTTGATGACTTTGAACAGAAACAAAGTGCCAATTTAGTTCCAAAGTTTGGACGTTTTGAGTTTAATGCATGATCACTTCATCAAAGTTGTATTATCCATGCAATATTCGGACCAAGACGTCGATATTTTAGCTGTCGGAATGACCAATTTTTGACCTGACTAGCAAAACTTCCGCTTTGCAAATTTTGAATGCAGTTTAAGCTGTGCTTTACTTTCCTGCTAAACCGGCACAGAAGGTGGTATAAGTATTTACTTTGTATACGGGACTCACGCGAGAATTAATTGTGCCTATCTCTCATCAATTCAACTATTAGCTGTTTAATTTGAAAAAGCTTGCACTGGGTAATTTGTAAAGAAGGGGTTTATAACATATTATATTCAACTTCGCCGGTCAGTATTGCGTGATCAGTGACAGTGGAATCCTACCAATGAAGGGAAACGAGAAAATTTGTCCAAGAAATCGGGAGTTTCAGATATCGGGGGTGAAAATGCAATGAAACAAATCTTGGGGTGGTTCGAGAAATCAAAATCGGGATTCAGCTACAAACGCAAAGTTAAGCTCATTACGGCTTGCTATTGTTATAATTCATGCATTACCATTGGCATTTATAGTTTATTAATAGTCTTTTAAGCTTATTACAGACCTGACAGAGCTCCATCGCGAGCACACGCAAATCTTAATTGCTGTGAAATACAAATTACGCAGGGAAATTTACTTATTTTCATGCGAAAACATCTCCCACAAGGCTTACCAATTTTAGTTCTGCGATGAAAGGCTCAAGAATTTCGATGCTTCAATGATCATGGCTTCAGCCAAACCCACATTGTTCGCATACCTCCACGACTAGATCCGCGGACTTTCCAAACGAAACTGAAAGGTTATATAAGAGGGACTCGATAGGTTTGAGCATTCTGTGAGTTGTATTTTCACTTGCATGGTTTTAGAAGTTTCTGCAGAAGAGTGAACGGATCAGTTTAGATTGATATTTGTTTAACACGGTTTTTTTTTTTTTTGGCAATCTTAGCGTTCCCAACAGTGGAAAGAAACTCATTTTATAAAGGAGGGAAATGGTATTATTTGGGAACAGCAATGTGACAGCCAACGTCACATGGAGTATCATGGAAATGAAATGAAATCGGAAAATATAGGCGTTCGAACTAAAATTATGCGTTTGTTAGAGAACTGAATATTGGGGTAAATTAAAAATCACAATAGCCTCAGAATAAAACCTGCCATGGCATTGTTATGCAATTAAGAGTCATATTGATACAATTTCCTCGGGCTATGTCTACAAACTAATGACCCTAAGCTCCTTTTGTTATTTATTTAGGGTGGATTGAAAGTGGCACATTCATGTCTGTTTCAGAGAAAAGAACTGCACTTTTGTCATAACACGTGAAGGTGCAAGATTTTATGATGGAAGATCGATAGAGTTCACACAGGTTTAAGGCCATCCCCCTTTTTTTTTCTCTGTTTAGCGTCGTTCGACCGACCCAGATTTTCGCGTNAGGCATGGTTTAGCATGGTCTTGAGGAGAGATCCCTTGTACCTCACAAGTGGTCCAT